ATTCTACATATTTCTTAAAAAAACTACCACCATCACCAGAAACACAGATTTTGAATTAACATTTGGAAAAGTGAGAACAACTTGCTCTACTGAGTCACAATGACCTGGAGATGTGTCATCACTTTGAGATAGTAATACAGATAATAAAAAGCTGTCAGTGAAGTAAATTTGGCATTTGAGAGCCTTAGTGTTCTTGGAGACCAATCAGTTGTAATTTTACCCAAACTAAACATGATGGGAAAACAATACCATCAAAGTTAGCAGCTATAATTCAAAGCCAATTGTACACTTGTATCTTCAATTTTTAATCTGAATCCTGCTCAACAACTTCTTCAAAAAGAAAGATCTTAAGATTCTTCTAAGATAGAATAGCCATGAAATCTTTTGCAAATGGGCACCTCAGTTTTCTAAAAGAGAGTAAGTAAGAGCCTACTGGCTAATCAGAAAATGAGCTCTGAATTGAAACAACACAAGCAATATCTAGCTCACTTTGTAAGCTTTTCATACAGTATATGCTGAGGCCTTAGGTGGTGATTGTGTCATTAGCTTCTGTTTGGGTGCAGGACAAGCAACTGTAACCAACTGACCATTGTGTTATTTCAAGGGCTTGCAATTTAATGAATTCACACATCAAATTCACTCTCACAAAGGGTGAACAACACACAGGTGGGGGGGAAATGATATTGAATAATTGAAAATAACTCCAATATTAGGTTCAGAGAGGTGATGCAAAGATCTGCCACCTCGTTTTAAAAAGCATTTTCTATCATTGTAGTTCTGTCGATTAATTTAAATGAATAACAATGCATTCTTTTACCATTATCAACAACAACATGTTCTCCAGTCAATCCTGACTTAGAGCACCCCTTTCCAGTGTTTCCTGGGTATGGATTATTCAGAAGTGGTTTACCATTCCCTTCTTCTTAGGAGGTGCTTTGGAACTGAACAGCTTGTGCAAGGCTACGCAGCTGGCTGTTCTTCTGGAAGGCGCAGTAGGGAAGTCCTAATCTCTGGCTCTAGTTTCCAACTCACTGAGCTACCTAGCCAACTTTTTACCATCAGTGCTATCAATGTTTTGCACCAGTGATTCTCAAACTCATGTCAGTATCATGAAGGAAGGAACTGAATGTTAAAATCTCATAATGGAACACTTCTGGGTATTCAGCCCTTCAAATGCTGCCTTACTGGACTGAGCATGGCCCCAGTGGAAGATATTTTAAATACGGAAAGTGGCTATTTTACCTCTAGTCTTTGTACACTGTCTTATACATGTAGCAAGGAAAAACTGTGAATACGGTGTTCCCCAAAGAGATGCTCTAATGACATAATAAAGTTGTAGAGTGGCTGTGAAACTCAAAAGCAAGTGTCCAATCATAACTTTTCATTAAAAAGAAAATGTGGCAATAATTAGTTACAAAGAAGTATATTTGGTTCTTAATTGATTTTGATGAGAGGGATTAAGCACATGTGTAACTCTTCCGCACAGGACTTCAAAATACATAGTCTGGGCTATATTCTGTAACAATTTAAACAAGGGTTTAATATACATCAGTGGCAGAAGAGATTATGCTTTTCTGCTACCATTATTTATACTTTTAAAAGAATATAAAAACATAAGCTGTTCCTAAAAGGGCAACACTTCACTTCAGCTCCAATGATGTTGTTGTTGTTGTTTTTTACAGAAGGTTGACAAGTCATCACTCATTCCTGTGCCGATTAGTTCAACCCTGATGGCATTTCTTTGATGGACATTGCTAATACAGACTGAAAAGATTATTATGGAAAGCACAACATAGGATGAAGGTTTCAAGCACTTTGGCTGGTATTTCCCATCCAAAATCAAATGTAAAACCACCTGAAAACACTTGCATGTATGGCAGCTACACAGAAGAGAATCTATCTTGTCTTTAGCCTCTCAGTAGCATTTGGATTACACTGGGCTTAACTGCATGCATTTGACTGAGACCACAAGTTATGAACATCTTTGAGTTTTCTTTAAACTCAGGAGCCTCATGGCACAGTGACTGAACTGCAGAACTGAAGGCTCTGGGCTCAAGTAGCCAGCTCGAGGTTGACTCAACCTTCCATCCTTCTGAGGCTGGTAAACTGAGTACCCAGCTTGCTTGGGGATTGTGATGAGTCTCCTGCATTGTTAAATGGTAACTGCCCAGAGAGTGCTTTAAGTACAATGGTGCAGTATAGAAGCAGCACACTTTGCTTTCAAGTGATTCTAATTTCAAAAGGTCACACACACCCTCCACAAATATGTGAAGGCAGCCTGTATTGGGAAATATTCCTTTACACCACTCCAAAGGCTGAAATGCAATGTAAGAACAAATTCAATCAGTGTTCAATTTCCCGAAAAAGACCTGGTGTACCTAAAAATGCCCAATACATTTTGAGATCATTTTCAATTGGATGTTCCATGTTTAAATATACCACTTTCCAACAGCTTTGGGATGGTTCCCTTTAAACTATGTGAAATAAAGTGTGCATCCGTTGTCCTTTTTGCATATTTGAAAACACCAATGCTCTCTTTCATAGCTCAGCTTCTCTCCCATCACAGTTCTGCAGATCTGGGACAAATAATCTCAAACACACCTCAGATGCATAGTCCGGATGGTGCTAAAGGAGCAAGGAGGAAAGAGCATTCCTTGTTTGACAGAAGGAAATTCCGCCATGATCTAAATTCAGTGGCGTTCAGATGATACTGTAGTACTGGAGTTAAATAAATAATAATAATAATAACTGATAGGATTCAAATTTAGAACTTCTTTTGCTCTAAAGCTGAATCCCTATTCAGTCAAGTTCTTAAGCATGTACTGAGCTTTAGACGTGCAAATAAACATGACTGTCTCTAAGGGTCCGTAGGTCCTTAGGTGACCAAGAAAACTCTTTCTGTACACAGCCCTCAATTTAAGCCACAATTCCCTCCTTAAGTCAGGTCTTGAAGAGGGTTGTGAATGGAAGCCATGGGAATTCCACACTATAGGCAAATCAAAATTTTTTCTGCAGATTTTAATCTCACGGGCAAAACTCTCTGCAGTTATTCTACTTGGGCAACAGGCCATTACAAACGCTGACAGAACTTGTAACCAGGAGGTATCAAATGCCTCCTTGTACAAACCGAACTCCACGGTTGCCCATGGGCATGCCCAGTGCTCTCTGCTTGTGCAGTTCAGATTTGGCCAAAATCAGGCAGAGCTACCTCTTGCAGAATATTCCTCCCAACTGATGCTCAATGAGATTCTACTCCATGAAATTTCTGGGCTTAAACCCAGAAATAAAATATTGATTCCAAAAGGCTAGGCTTCTTCTTCCAAATAAGTTGTAATAGAATGACTCAAATGTTATTACTCTTTACAAACCACAAGGTAGGAATTGTCACACCGCTGTACTTTTAACACCTTAACGTTCAGTCAAAGTTCACAAAAGAACTGAAATGTGTGAAAGCAAATAAGATACTGAACAAGTCTGAAATGATATGCTCAACAATATTTCCAGAAACAGAGCATATTTTAGTATTTAATCCTGATGTCTTTTCCATTTTACAGTGGCCAGAATCCTACTGGGGTTGGTGTAAGACGGTGGTTCCCAACTTTTTCTGAGTTATGGCCTCCTTTTATAATAGTCAGGTAATCGGCAACTCCCCGCCATATTTACATAAAAATGCATTTTGATGGGTAAAGTAATTGTGTATCAGAAAGTGGAGGCTTCTTTCTCCCCCGAAAGGGCCTGCTTCTCATACATACACGTACACACTAACTTAAATATCTCGCTCCAGAAGGTCAAGGAAGAAATACAACACATATAAGGTGACACTTAGAAAATACTTTGTGACTCCCTTGGGGATCATGACCCCCAGTTTGGGAAACACCAGTGTAAGGTGTGTGCTTACTTGCCTTATCAAATTGCAGCCAATTGCTCAACTACCAGGGGTACCTCTTGGCCACACGCCTGGCTGCACAGCTGAGAAGCATCTTGGTACTTTGCCAAATAGCTGGAATTGCCCATGGCAAGTTATGCAAACATGGGAACCTTAGCAGGATTCTGGACATTGTTTTATGTTTTACACCTTTAAGTTTAAATATATGCTTAAGTACTAAGTATATGTTAAACTTAAAATACAATAGACTTACAACAAGGAGAGAGAAGGAAAGACAGAAAGTCAACCGCTAAGTGACTTTTCTACATGACAATAGAGTAATGGAAAAATCTTCATATGCTGAGTTTGTCACTCATGTGCTAAAGGCTGGCAGAAAATGCTGGGATTCTTTTTTCTCTCTCTCTAGAAATTGATCCTAGGAACATTTTCAGCTGGATATAGCAGAGTGTAACGTAGCTTGCCCAACTCAGAGGTTAAGAGAATTCCAATAAGCTAATAACTGCACAGAAGAGATAATAGCTGAAATTCTGTTGGCTTGTTACACAAAAGGTTGAAAATTCAGTCATTCATAGACGGCAATTAATAAGTCACTGTCAGGAGTCTTGGGAATGTGCACAGCCACTGGCTTGGTACGCACGTGCTCAAGAATCCCAATAAGGCCTCCTTAATTCCTGGCTAGAAATGACTGGATTTTATGCCTTTTGTGTAACAAGGCAACAGAATTTCAGCCAATATTTCAACACAAAACTTTCCCCCTCAAAGAACCAGTAATGAAAGAAATTGTACCTGGTGGAATTCTCTCCTCTGATACAAAATATATCAGAGCCTTTTCATATGCAATTACAATATTTTTTTTCAACAGCAACAGAATAAACAGAACTCCTATATTCAAGCTAATACATATTCTCAAATATCACCACATACGTACAATACAGTTACAGATCCTACTGTTTATAGACGTATGCAATTGAAAACTTCTTAACCCCTCCCCCATAAAAAAATCTCATGCTTTTAAATGAATGCTGTCAAAAACATCCTCCTACCTCGCTCACTAGGATTCCTGGATTTCTCTCCTTAAAGACCGACCCTATAATGCCCAAGGGATAAGCCTTACCTTCTTCCAGTGTTGCAGTCTGCTCTGAAGCAGGTGACGGGGGTGGGGAAGGAGGCAGGTTAGCGGTCTCTTCAACTGCTAAAGATTGAACAGCAGAAACGAGACACAATGGTTAATTATTTTGATAAGAAACTGTGCCAGTGGGACCAGACTGGCAGTGTATGATAAAATTTCAATTGAGCTGAAATCTGAGACTTTAATTTAACATGTTGCCATACCAACAGTAGTAGCCATTCATTTCAGAAGATGTAACACTATGGTCATAAATCTGCTCAACTGCCTTGCAATAAATTTCTCAGAATAAAAGATATATATATACCGTGTGTGTGTGTGTGTGTGTGTGTGTGTGTGTGTGTGAACACTGAAGTGTGGGTTTTGATTTCTGCTAACATCCAGCTGTTTGAAAGATTGATCTTGTGATTCTTATGGGCCCTGAAAAAAAACAAATTCACAAGCCAAAACCAGAAAAAAAAATCAAGCAAGATAATATTTATGAGAAATACAAAATCTGGGTTAAGGGAGGACATTTCACATGTATATGCTACTTGGAGGCTGACCCACAGCTAAGTCCCCTTTCCTTGAAAATAACCTTCTCATAAATATCCAGCTACTATACCTGATGAGCAGAGAGACAAAACAACAGCACCACAAGAGTTATTCATAAATAAGAACAAAGACTGGATCCACCCAAAGTTCTAAATGTCAGTTCTTTCAGTGGGAAAATTCAGCATGTACTAAATTAAGCAGGATCAATCGATCGATCAACTGATCTATCTATCTCTCTATCTAGCTATCTGAGGTAGGCAAGCAGGCAGACAGTCTCTCTGTGTATACATACACACACACACACATACACACACAGAGGAACATGTCAAAGAATTATGCTCATCTTTCTTAGTAACTGTTTCTGATTTTAGGAAAATATTTTTGGATTTCAGGAAAGCTTTTGTAACAGCACAAGAACATCTGTGGAGTTCTGTACAGCACTTCATTTCCACACACCCCTACAAACCTGTGATGTTATATAGTTGTTTAATCTCTATTAATGGTGGAAAGTTTGATCCAAATGAACGGGAATTCACTATGTACATCGATATACACAACAATACATTATACAACAATCAGCACACAGAACATGCACGTAAGCATCATTTAGAAGTATCTTTGGGGGCAGCTGTTCTGTTTATAACTAATCATGTAACCATTTTTTCCTGCTCAACAATGAATTTTCTGGACCTTAAAACTCCACAGGTCTCCCATGATGAAAAATGGCATCTTTTTTGCATCTTCTAATAAAAATGTAGATAAAGCATGTGGCAGAACCAGATGACTCTCTGTAGAACCAATCATCTGGTAAACTAAGGTATTATCATTCGCATCATTTCTATTTAATTGTGGGGAAAGAAGATGTTACTTAAAAGATAAAGACACCTCAAGCATTAAACAAGGTCTGTCAAAAACTGGGTAATGGAATACTGCTAGCCTTCCTCCAACTGACCAGCTATCTGGCCCTCCATCAATAACCAAAAAGGCAGTGTGAAGCATTCATGTGGAGAGGGCTCTTGCTCTTGGACAGTGAGAATATCACAACAAGCTATGGTATGATTTGGCCAGCCCATTTCTGCTAACCCCGTGGTTTCCAAACCAGCCACAAACCATACTACAAGCTCACTTGTGGCTTATAGAACAGGCTTGTTTAAACCACAGCTTGTCATGACACATGAATTTACAACCAGGATTTTTCCTCAACTTGTTTTTTCAGATGCTCACCTCAAATCAGGAGTTGGTAAAAGAGGCAGGAGAAATGAGAAACAGAGAAGATAAGCCATGTTTGGTAATTTACTGTGTTAATACTTGAACGGAACCATGGCTTATCAGAACCATGCAAACATGCCCGGTATCTCAGCTCCCAAGTGAAAAAAAGTACTAATAAATAGCAAATGGGGGGGGGAGGTACAACTAGGCCACAGCTGCAGTGCAAAAGCTTGATGTTTATAACACAACACACAGCTGAGATGACTTGCTTTACCTAAAGGTAATGGTGCTGGCTGATCTTTGTGCTGGGCTTCTTTTTCCTGTTCACCTTTCAGGACTGCCACAGCTTCAGCTGTTACTACTTGGACTATCCTTGCAGATACTTCTTCTGGGACAGTAGCAGGGTTAACAACAAGACAAACAGAAACACATTAATGAAAAAGACACAAAGTAAAAAAAAAAAAGGAACAATGACGATAATCTAAGGCTATAGTCCTGAAACTAATTGTTACACCCTCATCCTTGTTTTGCTCTGGAACAGTTTTCAAAATACAAGTCTCTTACCAACAATTAAGCAAATAACACCAAAAGGTATGGAGTTTCATACAGGCAAAGGGAACAACAATTATGTCCTTCATGGCTGCATTACACCATGTGTTGTTGAATTATATCCCAGCTAAAGGGGGTCCTCTATTATGGCAAAAATCCTTGGAGACTCACCCATGCACAGAACATGCATATTCTACCTCCTCAATTCAGAATATCTGACATGGAGCAGAAGTTCACTATTGCACTCCCAGCTGAGCCCAGAATTGGCAGTTCATGGGGAAGAAAGACACTGTGGAGCCTCCGTGAGAGCGAGGAGGTGGTCAAGAACCATTTTAGGGACAGAGCACTGTAATTTTTGGTGGATCCCAGTGGTTTCAGGCCAGCCTAAGGGCAAGACAAGACAGCGTGCCTGGGACTTTGTTCTGCAGGCGACATCCAACATTAGACAGAGCAGAATCGCTACCTCAAAAAACCGATATGAAATTTCAGGAAAGAACAACCGTTAGTTATTTAACTTATTATGGCTGTATTTTGATTGCAAGAAAAGGGGAGAGAAACTTAAAGAATTTCTTGCCATGGATATCATCATAAGTTTTGCCTTAAATACCATGTACTCATAGACTGGATGCTATTTAATGCTGTCCACTCAGGCAGTAACTATCTGCTCAGGCAGCAATAGGTCTTCAGCCAACTAGCTTTACAGAACACTTGCCAGGAGAGCCGGGGAGGGGGGGCAATCCTGCTTCTCCCTACCTCCACCAATCTTCTTTGAATGTCCCACACCTTGGCTAAATGCTTTTACAGGACTCTTTTTTCAGGCCACAGGGGTGAGCAATTATAATACATTCTTCCCAAAGTATGTCTGTGTCCTCCCAAACATCCTCTTAAAAAGAATCTTTGCACTTCCTGAAGATAATTATTCCTCAGAAGTCCCTGAAAAGTACAGAGGCTTTCCAAAACAAAGTGCACAGACACACACATTATTTTAAGCATGATAGTATATGTCCAGTTGATATCACATAGCCAATTTACAGCAGTGTGTAAGGGCAGGAGTGGGGGGGGCAGCAGAATCTAGGGAGAAAGACTGGGTTTTGGGAAGAAACCTTTCCCGTATTCCTAAGTAAAAAAAAAAACAGAGAAGAGAAGAGAGGAAAATAACGGATGACATTTTTCAAAACTGCTTCTTGTAAGGCTTTTATAGCAATTTAATGGCAAGTCAACATGTTAAGATGTTGTTACATTCAACATTTTCAAAAACACATTAGATTTCTAAGTTCATCAATCATTACACAAATGTGTTTACTCTTTTCTACTAACATTTCAAACATTGCTGTTCACTTCCTGCCCCCATTCCCTAGCACCTAAATTGAGATATACATGTAAGAAAAGATGCCTGAAACAATTTCTGATTGCTGGGTGTTGGCTGAGCTTGTTCTGTTGTGGTTCCCTGGGTTACCATCTACTAGGCAAGTAAGAAGCATTTTTCAAGTTCAAATCTTTTTTCTGAGAAACTGCTGTAGAAGGAAAGTAATTACTTCTGAGCCAGCTCTTATTGCTCCAGGGAAGAGGCAGGAATCCTCTCTGACAAGGGGAGAAAAATCTTCAGCCTTCTGGATATTTTGAACTACAAGACCCATAATTCTGTACTATTGTCCATGTTAGGTAGGCTGTTAGGGAGTTGAATGCTCCAGTATTAATATACTGATTATGAAGGATCACTCCAATGGACCATGTGCCAAACAGAAGCAGGAGAACACAAGCAGGAGTGTATCAAGCTTTATATGCTATAAACATTCATGTACTGGCCTACTTCCAAGTGGGAAATGGTGTGTTGGAATGCTTCTCCATTAAAAAAAAAAAGTTTGCATGTAGTATACAATTAGCCATCCTTAATTAACATAATTATTTGTATGAAGATAGTCCAAATGCATTGATAAAACACAGAATAGCTGATTTCTCTGGATGGAAGTTCAATATCTGATATAAAATTCTGCACAATTATACTGCCTAGCACAAAGTTTTTACAGTGGGGTCTTGACTTGAGAACTTAATCCGTATTGGAAGGCGGTTCTCAAGTCAAAAAGTTCTCAGGTCAAATCCGCATTTCCCATAGGAATGCATTGAAAACCATTTGATCCGTATCTGCTCTTTTCCGTCCATAGAAACTAATGGGAAGCTGCTATTCTGCCTTCGACCACTCGAGGGGGCTATTTTGTTTCTTTTTTTTCTTAGGTCAAGAAAGGTTCAGGGAAGGCAGGGAAAATACAGTCCAGGCAGGACAGTACCAGGCAGTCTGAAGACTGTCTCCCAATCCACTCTCTAAACGCTGGGAGGAGTGAGGAAGCAGACAGGCACCCTTTTCACTGGCCAACAGTTAACTGAAAGTTCACATTTTGCACTTTCCCTGCCTCCCACGTGGGTTTTTTTCAGTTCGTAACTCAAATCTAAGTACTTAAGTCAAGTCAATATTTTCCTATGAGAGCAGTTCTTAAGTCAAAATGTTCTTAAGTCAAGACCCCACTGTATTTTAGTTAGACCTCTGGTTACGCAGAGGCTCTATTATGGCAGATACTGAATATCTACATATGTTTTAGTCCAACTGTGATTATTCCTCAGAATAATCTCCTATAAAGGATATGTGAAATATATTCTTGTTCCTGTCTTAGGAATGACTGGCAGCAACTCTGTTTCTAATTGTTGCAGTAACTCTACACACACTGATGCTAGGGATTGGTTAGCTTTTTGTTTCTGTTCCATCCTGTTAAAATAAGAATTCACTAAAATTTGCAGATTTCTTCATATCCAGTATGAAAGGACATTTTAAAAAGCTGAATATCAGAAAAGCCAACACAAATAGATAAGAGGACTTTGACTCTTTTACTGTATTCTTAAAAGCCTAGGTTAAAATCCAGTGACGACTAGTGACCAAAGCAGAGGGCTGCCTCCCTCAAAATTCTAGGGTGAGATGAGCTCCTGTCCTGGCCCATGTTTGAATCCCTGTGTGTTAGATCTAGATAATAGCAATAAAACAGGATACAGTGGGTATAGTGAATAGGATCTCCTATAAAGGATATGTGAAATATCTTCTTGTTCCTGTCTTAGGAATGACTGGCACCAGGTATGTGTAGCTATCCAGTTGGTGCAATCAAAGTGTGGCCCTCGAGGTGTTTTCTGGCTCCAGTTATTTTTCTTCTATTGTTTTATTTTACAACTGACATTGCTTTACAATCAATTTGTTTGCACTGGAATGTGACAGAAGTATTGACTCTAGCCAGCAAATGTGTCTGCCAGATCAACCATGTGTCCAGAATTTGCCAAGCTAAGATTTATGTCGTTGCCAAGTCATTTTCATGTAAGTACTAAGCGGCTATTAATAATTCACTCAAATGATTGCAAATATACTGGGTGGGTGAAAAAACAGATAACTTCTAGCAGAATGATTCATTTCTCAGAGATGTGGGAGTTGAAGGTGAGATGTAGTGTGCACATGCTGTACACAAACAGCATCGAAGCATTCTATACCCCATAAACATTTTTCAAAAAAATTACATGTCTTTAGTTTTCATTGTTGTTTCTTCATTTTATGTTCACTGCAAGCTGTCATAAGTGCACAAAAGGCGAAATATAACTGTCATAATTCCCTGTCCTAACTGAATACTAAGGAGTACAGAATAGTTAAAATCTTCTCCATTAGAACCTTAGAACAGCAGAGCTTCAAGGGACCATTTCAAATGGGGAAAGAAATGCCCAACTGCTGGCTCCACAGCTAGATAGCTAAGCCACTGAACTGTCCAGAAGTTCTTTATTATGACAAACAATTTTGCATTCCATGAATTTTTCAATGAAAAAAGCAGTTGGTTGTTCATGCTGTAGTTTCTCAGCCTCAAAAGCCAGGTTTACATCCATGTTTGTAACAGTATTGGTTGGAGGTGGGGGGGATGGAGGTTTAACAATGATTAAAGCATGAGGTCCAAATCCAACTGCTAGTCCCAAGCAAAGCAGACAAGTGAATCAACTGAATTTACATATTATATTAAAGGCCATCAGTTGTTACTGTTCATTGAGCCTGTTTGCGTTCAGTCTAGCAATTGTTTCGGCCTAGATCTCAGCCACTCCAATCCAATGCCAAAACCTTTTCAACTGCACTCCATTGCGTCCAATCAGTAATATTGGAAACTTTACAAATCTATGATTGTACATAGCTGTATGAGACCATCCCTTCCACAGCAAATTAGAAATTATGCGATACAAGGAAGAGTAATGTGAGGTCTAACTAAGCAACACGGCTTTACACATTAGTTTATAGGTTTGAATTGACCTGCTTCTTTCTTCCCTACTGCTTACTACTCTAGGGGGGGGGAAGAGTTATCTCCAAGGAAGAAACAGGAAGTAAGCTTCACAGAGTTCTGTTCAGATTTGTGAATAGATAGCTAGTCTTTTCAAAATCTATTCAGACTATTTTGCTAAAATCATTTCAACATAATCAAATGCTTTTCAGGTTTTTTTTCTGGAAAAATCTGCTGGTGACTTTACTTCCAACATTATATACAGATGCCTAGGAGGACAGACACCCAAACACAGAAGAGAGTCCCGGATTAGCTGTCATGTTGTTTGTTCAAAACTTAATTTGTTCCAACTACATATAGAGCATGGGCTTTATACTCTTTCAAAGTATAATTTATTAGAATTATTAATTTATAAATCAATTTTCTACCCACCAGGGCTCCCAAACTGAAATACTGCAAAACTAGAATATATTATGTATCTAGGAATGTCGCATTTTGAACAGAATTTGCTGCATTACTCATTATTTCCCAGCTGCCAGGATGCTGTTATGTA